CAAAACGAGCCGAACACGAACGAACACATCTTACTTTATGTTCGGCTCGTATACTTATCGAACGAAATTAACAAGCCGAACGCGAGCTGTTCGCGAACAACGAACCGTTTTGACAGCCCTAAACCACCGACTGTCTGCTGCGACCAACCACTTCTAGCAGCCTCTACTCGCCTTTGAATGTTACCCCTGCTTGTTAATATCGTATCCCAAATATGTCCTTAATGTATAACATCATATTGAAAACGCGGTGATAACTTCTAGTCATTGTAGCCGCTGACAACAATCGACCACCGCCCATCAGCTGGTATAAACCATTGTCGACCTCTCCTACTTACTGAAATCATTGGCCCATGCTTGCTAACGGTCTATTCTAAATAAGTTAGTAACATATAACACCATATTGAAAACCCAATGATAACTTTTGGACCTTGTAACCGCTCATCATCATCAACCACCGTCTGTTCATTGACCTCTGCCACTGTCAGTGACCCCTGTTTGTTAATATCATATCTCAAATATGATCATAACGTATAGCATTTTATTAAAAACACAATAATAACATTTAGCCACTCAGTCGTCGTCGATCACCATTGACCACCGCCCATCAAGAATAATTAGCCATCACTGGCCGTTCGTGCTCACTACCAATGGTGACCCCTGCTTATTTGCATAGTATCTCAAACACGAACTTATCGTATGACCATATTGAATATCCAGCGATAATTGTCTGTCTCAGTAACCCCTGACCACCACGACCATAATACAATAGTTGTTCATAACACTTATATTTTACTTTACGCAGTATACTGAAAAATGAAGTAACTAGTGTAAAGTTGTAACCTCAATCTGAGAGAATGAGTCCAACCACCAATTACATTCTTTCTTGCCAACTGACGCTATTGTAACCCCCAATTATTGCCTATGTGGTCAATAACTACTACAGCTTTTAACTACAGTCTTTGTATCCAACTGATGCTATTGCATCCCTCAACTACAACATATATGACCAATTACTACTACAACTACTAACGACAACATGCATGGTCAACTAACGCTATTTCAACCACTAAAATACGATCGTTGTGGCTAACAACAACCATTACAATTTTCAATTACGACTTTTGTTGCAAACTATTACTGTTATTGTGGAAAATTACGCATGTTGTTGTCCAATTATGACTTTTATTGCTGAACTTTTATCGTACATCTGTGATTATCAAATTTGTAATTATATCCTCTAAAATTCAAAAGAAGAGTGAACTTATCTGCTTACAATCATATAGCGGATTACTTTAGCTGGGCTCAGAGCCGTAATTTTTCCCTTTCCAGAGTATTCCCAAATAAGAAATCTTGTTCTATTACCACGAATCTTCTGACATGCAACAATAGTTTTATTTCTCATATCTAGAGCTTCATACTTGTTTATGTTTGACAATATATCCAGTGAACGTAATGGAACAATATGACTACAACTTATGTATACGCTATGCTCCTTCATGCCCCATAATGGTGATGAAAAAGAATAATAGGAAGAATATTCATGTAGTGGCGCGGCTAGGTCTAAGGAAAGCAAACTTCACCAAATACCTATTCATAATTGAATCCCCCGGACTCATGAGCTCC